GCTCGGTGGGAAGGTGCTTGGAGTGGCTCGGTGGGTAGGTGCGTGGAGTGGCTTGGTGGGTAGGTTCTTGGAGTGGTTCAGTGGGTAGGTGCTTGGAGTGCCTCGGTGGGTAGGTGCTTGGATTGGCCCGGTGGGTAGGTGCCTGGATTGGCTCGGTGGGTAGATGCTTGGAGTGGATCGGTGGGTAGGTGCTTGGAGTGGCTTGGCGGGTAGGTACTTGGAGTGGCTCGGTCGGTAGGTGCTTGGAGTGGCTCGGTCGATTGGTGCTTGAAGTGGCTTAAGCCACGAGTACTTGGGTCAGCTATGGGCCGCGGGCGTGTCCCTTTAAGGCGCCGCATTTGAGGGGGGTTGTTTAGATGACCGGCCTGTCGCTGAGAATTGCGACGTAGAAAAAAAAGAACGAAAAAAAAAAAACAAAACTACTTTCTAAGTTGGGCGGGGGTCGTGGTCACGTCTGTTCTTGGTGGAATGATTCTAACTTAGTATTTTAGGTAGATTTTGGATGTCTGTTTTCTCTGCTTCTGTTTTTCTTTTCATTTTTCTTAGATTCCCTTGCCAGCGAGGCAGGGCATATCCCGTGATCTACTGAACAACCCTCGTTGAGGGCATACTCGTACTTGCATACAGACAAATGCATCTAACTAATTTCAGGGCCAAATTCATGTTTGGTTTTTTTTTCCTTCTTCGAGATTCACTTCTTTGTTTTTTTATTCCTCATTTTACTTTTGGATTCTGACAGGAACGCCACGGGGCTCATACACCCAAACTGCAATGTGCTCACATTAGCACTCAGGAGAATGCGTCCGACTACATTCACATCCACAGCGTTGTTATTGTGTTTTTTTTTTTTGCTGTTTTTGTTTTCCAACTGGTCCCCCCAGCCTCGGCCCGTCCAGCTACAGGTACTTCCAGGCCTGGCATGCTCGACATACCGGTCGTTGGAGGCTCGGACTTGATAGCTGGGCCAAGTACTGGTGGTGTAAACCACCACTCCCGCTGACGTCAGAAACCTTGGGGGTACCGGTACTCCCCCTGACGTCAGAAACCTCGAGGGTACCGGTAGTATAGAGTGGAAAACCGATCGGGCCTGAAAAATGGAACTTGCAAAAATGCACCAAATCCGCGCGGCGTGTATTTGACGGTCAAAATGATTTATTTTATTTTTTTTGATATTTTTCCCTGAAAGATCCCAGCCTAATCTACGGACCCTCAAATTTGCAGAGCTTTTGATGGATTCTTCTGAGCACAAAAATTCGACAAGATTACCGCTTGAAAATGGCGGGATTGGACCCGCCGGTGCGAAAATGCACCAAATCGGCGCGGCGTATATTTGACGGTCAAAATGATTTTTATTTATTTTTGGATATTTTTCACTAAAAGATTGCAACTTTATCTACAGACCCTCAAATTTGCAGACCTTCTGATGTATTCTTCTGAGCACAAAAAATCGGCAAAGTTGCCGATTGAAAATGGCGGGATTGGACCCGCCAGTGCAAAAATGCACCAAATCCGCGCGCCGTATATTTGATGGTCACAGTGATTTTTTATTTTTTTTTTGATATTTTTCCCTGAAAGATCGTGACCTAATCTACAGACCCGCAAATTAGCAGACGTTTTACTGGATTCTTCTGATCACAAAAAATTGGCAAAGTTGCCACTTGAAAATGGCGGGATTGGACCCGCCTGCCACACTGTGCAACATTAGGGTTCGGACACACAGGCACATCCTGACATGCCAGAAGCCTGACGTGGGATACACTTCAAAAGAAAGCAATCCCCAAAAGCAGACAGGGACTTAGTCCACTTGAGTGGTTATCTAATCGGGCAATTGGGTATTTCAAAATCTGTTTGTGGGTTGGGTATTTCAAAATCTGTGCGTGGGTCCAAACCCCGACCCGACTACAACCACCGTGAGCAAGCTTCCCTATACTCTTAAAGAATGCAAAGGGCCCAGCGTGACGCTTCCCGCCGGGCCCAGCGAAATTCGGTGTGGAGGCAGGCGGGACTGGGCAAAGGTAAATCGGCCGCGGCATTTCGTGGTGGGACTGCGGCGGTGCACGAAACGGTTGCGGAGTGCGTGCCGCTTCGACCCCGCGGTGGACTTCACGCATTTAGGCTGTGGAGGGTGGCACACGCCCGCGCGTTTTTTTGTTTACGGCCATTTTTTTTTTGGGCTGGTGTTGGCGCGGCGCAGTTTCTGTTTACAGACGTTTTTTTTTTGGGTGTTGGTGTTGGCAGGCTTTATGAACGGGGTCTTGCCAGCATGCGGTCGGACAGCGTGGCATGCAGTCGACGAGCGCGAGCGTAGGGGCGTAGGAGGACCGAACCGCGGGCAGTGGGAAGACGAGAGAGAGAGAGAGAGAGAGAGAGAGCATAGGGGCTTAGGAGGACCGAACTGTGGGCAGTGGGAACGACGAGAGAGAGAGAGAGAGAGAGAGAGAGAGAGAGAGAGAGAGAGAGAGAGAGAGAGAGAGAGAGAGAGAGAGAG